ATATAATATACCATTGCATATAAATTTTATATTGTTATAAGTTAAGTATCGATTTTTATTTACTACGAAAAAATAAAATTTTATAAATACTCTAATACGTAGAAAGTATTTATTTAATATTATTTCTTTGTTGTCTCCTTTCAACCAGTTGAACAACAAGTTTGAATTTTTTCACTATCAGTTAGCGTTACACAATTATCAAAGGTAAATAGTGCCAAGAAGGTAATGCCCAAATTTAATTCTTATTAACTGCGCTGGAAAGCAATTATGTTAAGCATAGCGCCTTCGCAAGTACGAGGTATATGTTCTACTCTTTATCACCAATTTGCGATCAAATTTCAGTGAGTCTAGAGGATGAGACCTTTTTTTGTTGAAGTTCTTTCACCATCATGAATGGTGTGGTTGGGTAGAAAGAGTATGGAGGGGTAATTAAGTTAGGTACATGAAGAGGAGGGTAGGTTAATGAATTACTGCATGATGGCAATTTGTAAGGCATGAGCTTTGAATGATTGCTATCAGAGCCATTTATTCTTGCTATGGGACATCACATGGGTTCATATTTGAGGTATGAGGGGACCTCTTAAAAAAAATTACCGTGTATATTTGTAGTTTATGATGCTCCCTATTTATAAAATTATTTTATAAACTATATTTGCAGAAGAACACTCGAAGAATTAGTGTCAGTTATTGAATCTCAGAGTATTTTTGTACATTCGTACAATTTTGGGAGGATTAATGTGTAGTAAAAAAACAAATATCTTTATTTATTACATTTCTTATTTTATTATTTCTTTATTGTATTATTGTGATAGTTTGTTGTTCTTCTAATATGATTAGAACTCTCTCATGTAATCCTTATACATATATATATATATATATATATATATATATATATATATATAGTGAAACTCATTCAGAGGTACGACCAAAGGGAGTCCCTCGAAAAGGTACGACCAAAGGGAGTCCTGAGTTTCACATAGTGAAACGAATTCTCTAGTGACTTCGCACCTCGAAAAAGGTACGTTGTTCAACTCATATTCGTTTCAAATGAGTGTAACTATGTTACCTATGTGAAGTGTAACATAGTGAAACGAATAGTTACACTCATTCGACTGATTTTTGGTCCCTTTCGTCCAGTTGAACTACAAGTTTGAATTTTTTCACTGTCAGTTAGCGTTACACAATTGTCAAAGACACAATTGTCAGTTTGCATTTTGATATTATGGGGTTGTATAGCAGCATCTCACTAAATTTTTTAGTACTATATATTCACATTATTATCATTGTTATTCATATTTTTTTAAAAAAATATAGAAGTCTTATTTTAGTACTTTCTCTATATTTACTTATAATTTAATAGTTTTCTCGAAATGAAGGAATAAGTCTTTCATCATTGTTTAAAATAAATATGGCTCAAAAATTTAAATTGGGCCACAAACATAAACGGGCCGCTGTCAAGTACTCCGTATTATTTCAAAATCTTCCATCAATGACTCACAATTTTCATCCGGAATTTGAAGTTGGGGGCCTTATTGGCAAAGCGTGCCAAGAACGAAGTAAATTTGGGTCTGGCAAAATAAGAACGAAGTGAAATTGGGCCTTCGCAACGGAGTAAAATAAATTAAATTAAGCGTTGTCCCACACCGTCTTATGGATCTACCGTTTTTCCTTTCTTATATTCCAGTGTCGCGCCGTAAGATTGTCTGTAGAAGACAAACGTCCCAGACTGCCAGCAAACTTGATAATTAAAGATGATCTAGTCCTTTTTTTTGAGATTTTGATATTGAAAAATAAAATGGAGTCACAAAAATGAAAGATTGGGCAGTCCAAAAAGAAAAGATTGTCTCATCTTTGATTTTTACAGTTGAAGATTGTTGCTTTCATTTTAATATTTAATTGAAATTATTTTTAAATTGATTTATTGAATATTGATTTAAATATTTAAAAATAAACATTGCAATATTGGAAAATACATACAATTTTAAGTAGATAAGTTTTATTTTTAAATTTTAATTAATATTCAAACAAATTCAATAAAAATAATGATTAGTTTGGACTAGTATTCAAATTGGCTAAGTAAAACTTACCTAGTATTCGAATGAAAAAAAAATCATGGTTAAAAAGTAAAGAATTTTTTTCATCGTTAAAGTGTTAAGAACTTTTTTCATGGCTAAAGTAGTTAATCTTCTTGATTCATTTTCATTCTCAATAAACTTTCTTCTACCTAAACATAATTCTACTTTTTAATTCTCTTGAATTCATATGATTATTAGTTAAAATTTATCACAAAAACTTACGTACTCTAAGTAGGGTTATAATAAAAAAAAATCATTAATTCCGAAAGTAGGGTTATAATGAAAAAAATCAATCATTAAAGAAAAAAATAGGTTTGATTACATTATATGACATGTATGTTTATGGAATAAAATCTTGTAATGCAAAGTATAATTACAAATATATTACTCACTCTGTCTCCAATTTGATTACAAATTGTGGGTTACGGAATAAAATTTTTTACTTTTTAAAATCATTTTATTTACAAATTGGTATATCAATAAGATATAAAAATTACATACTCTCTCCGTCCCTAAATATTTGTCACACTTGTATTCCCGAGGTAAAATATCAAGTTTTTTCAATTTATTTTATTTACATATTGCTATAGAAATAAAAAAATTTACATATCAAAAAACTACATGAAAAGTTCTTCGAAATAAGAGGCATCTAGAATATTTTATTTTATCAAATAACCAATGAAAATGTAGAAATAGACAAAAGTTCCCGCGACTGCTGAAAAAGCATAGTGGCAAATATTTTGGAACGGAGAGAATATTAAAAAACTACGTCAAAAGTTCAACAAAACAAGAGGTTACAAGAATATTTTATTTTATCGAATACTTAATGAAATTGCGTAAACAAACAAAAGTTATCGAGAAGAGAGTGAAAAAATTGTAATCTATTTAGGGACGGAAGGAGTATTTTATGATAAATATTGCATAAATAGAGTGACGTGCAATGTAGCCACAATAACTTTTAAATATTGAACATTTTGATATTTATGTTAATTTTATATTCTAATTAATTTTTTTGCAAAAGTAACTTTTTTTGTATGAAAAATAAAAATATTTTTTTATCTTAAAAGCTTTTATTAAGATAACGTGATGACAACAAAAACTATAATAAAATAATAATAATAATAATAATATTAATAATTTATAACAACGGGATTTAGAATAAGAATAATATAAAAATACACAAAAAAATTAAATTTTTATTATATTTTCCAATTTCTTCCAATTCCTTCTAGTTTCTTCCAGTTTTTTCAAGTTCCTTCCAATCTTTTACAGTTTCTTCCAGTTTTCTGGTTCCTTCTAGTTTCTTTCAACATCCAGCTATTTTTTCTAGTCTAAGAGAAAAGAACACTTAGTCGATCGAAAGCCAAATCGGCAATCGCCAGAAAGAATATTTCAATTCCAATAAGGGGTACTACTCCCTCCGTCCCGCTATATTCGTCCACTTTTGACTTTTGGAACTGTTCATCTAAGCACTTTGACTCATCAAATTCTCTCAATATGTAAGCCTAAATATAGTATGTGTGATCTTTTTTGATTTGTCTTAACATATAGATTATTAATATATAATTTCTATAATTTTATAATATACAAATTACAAGATAAAATGGATTAAAGAAGTGTATTGGATGGTGTGCAAAAATAAAAGTGGAAAAATATAGTGGGACGGAGGGAGTATTTTGTTACATATTTTTAACATGAGGTATGTTTGTGTTACAAATCAAAGATGAAAAACCCTTTTATTACAAGAGTCAAAATTGGAGTGTCTTTTACCTGAAAATTTGGAAACACCCTGAAAAATATTAAAATTTAAAAATATTAATGATGGATACCCTGGACATGGGGTATCCGGACTTTGTATAATATTAGTTGGGGCGGTCCAGTCTGTTGGACCGGCCCGTTAGTCATTTATTAATTATTTATTTATGGACGGCCCAGTCTGTTGGGCCGGCCCATTACTTCGAAACCCTAGCCCTGATTCCACCCTTATTTTATACTCCTCTTCTTGGAAGAGGAGGGAGGGGAAAAAGAGGGAGGCTACACTACCAACACTATTCATCATCTCCTTCATCTCTACATACTTTCTCCTTCTTTCCCTATCCTTGGGTTCCATAACCCAACAATTAAAATGAAGAAAAATTTTGTAATTATTTTTTTCGTTTCACCCGTGCATTGCAAAATGCAAATGTTAAAATGTTAGTGATGTCCACAAAAATAAACCACTCAGTACTTTATACGATCCCTTACATTTGCATTGGTACTCCAAATAAATAAATCACTCCAAATTGAAGTAAATATGACAATTTTCCTCAAAATATATTTCAATATTTTTATTATTAAAATATGAGTTTACACTTTGATATTGTGGGGTTTTATAGCGGCATCTCACTATATTTTTTAGTACTATATATTCACATTATTGGAATTGTAAACCATATTTTTTTTCAAAAAAAACAAAGAACTCTTATTTTAGTACTTTCTCAATGTTTACTTATAATTTAATCTTTTTTTCGAAATGAAGGATTAAGTCTTTTATCATTGTTTAAAATAAATATGGCTCAAGAATTTAAATTGGGCCACAAACATAAACCGACCGCTCTCAAGTACTCCGTATTATTTCAAAATCTTCCATCAATGAATCACAATTTTCATCCGGAATTTGATGTTGGGGGCCCTCTTGGCAAAGCGGGCCGAATTAAGGGCCTGGCAAAATAAGAACGAAATAAAATTGGGCCTTCCGACGGAGTAAAAGACATTAAATAGAGCTTCGTCCCACACCGTCTTGCGGATCTACCGTTTTCCCCTTCTTATATTCCAGTGTCACGAAGACATAATTTTGCCAGCAACCATATCGATATAAATCAAAGACATAGTCCCATTTTGTTGGAGATTTTGATATTGAAAAATAAAATTGAGTCACAAAATTTTTTTCACAATTGACTAAGTAAAATTTACCAGTATTCGAATGAAATAAAATCATGGTTAAAGCGTAAAGAATTTTTTCATGGTTAAAGTGTTAAGAACTTTTTTCAAAGTTAAAGTATTTAATCTTCTTGATTCATTTTCATTCTCAATAAATTTTCTTCTACCTACACATAATTCTACTTTTTAATTCTTTGGAATTCATATGATTATTAGATAAAATTTATCACAAAAACTTACATACTCTACGTAGGGTTATAATGAAAAAAATCATTCATTCCAAAAGTAGGGTTATAATGAAAAAAACCCACCATTAAAGAAAAAAACAGGTTTGATTACATTATGTGACATGTATTTGACATTTATGCTAATTTTATATTCTAATTAATTTTTTTTGCAAATGTAACTTTTTTTTGTATGAAAAATAACAATATTTTTTTATATCTTAAAAGCAGTTATTAAGATAACGTGATGACAACAACAACAACTATAATAATAATAATAAAATAATAATAATAATAAAACAATAATAATAATAATAATAATAATAATAATTTTTAACAACAAGAATTAGAATGAGAATAATATAAAAATACACAAAAAAATTAAAGTTTTATTATATTTTTCAATTTCTTCCAATTTCTTCTAGTTCCTTTTAGTTTCTTTTACTTTTTTTCAGTTTCCTCTAGTTTCTTCCAGTTTTTTTCCAGTCATTCCAATTTTTTTCAGTTCCTTCCAGTTTTCTAATTCTTTCTAGTTTCTTCCAACATCTAGCTATTTTTTCTAGTCCAAGAGAAAAGAACACTTAGTCTATCGAATGCCAAATCGGCAATTGCCAGTAAGATTATTTCAATTTCGATAAGGGGTACTATTTTGTTACATATTTTTAACATGAGGTATATTTGTGTTACAAATCAAAGATAAAGTACCCTTTTATTACAAGACTCAAAATTGTGGTATCTTTTACCTGAAAATTTGGCAACACCTTTAAAAATATTATTCCCTCTATCCAGAAATGATGTTCTCGATTTGACTTTTCCTCATTTTAATAGGGCTTGAAAAAGGCTATAGAATGACTAAAATACCCTTGTTTAAATAATGGGGGAAGGGGGTTATAACCTGGCTGAGAATGAAGAATTGGAAAGTACTATTTATAATCATTACTTAATGTATGGGTATGTTACATCAAATCACAACTTACATCACAAAAATATCCAAAATGAATTCACATTCCCTCCTAATTTTTTAATCACCCGCCCAACAAAGCTCTAAAACCCATTCAAAGGGTTTATTACAACCATTTAACCCCCCCCCCCCAGGTTTTTCCTTTTTTCAACAGCCCCTTATTTTCTTCATCATGCTCTTCCATTCCTCTTCTTTTTCATTCCCTTCTTCATTTCGTTCCTTTTTCTTTTTTCTTCTTTCATTCCCTTCCTTGCTGTGCAGCTTTTCCCTGCATATATAAACCACAATGAACCGTGAGATAAACATGAAGAACTTGGACAACACAACAAGGCAACTCATTAGTGATGCCTTGCAACTCATTAAAATGAAGAAAAATTTTGTAATTATTTTTTTCGTTTCACCTGTGCACTGCAAATGCTAAAATGTTAGTAATGTCAAGAAAAATAAACCACTCCGTACTGTATATGCTCCCTTACATTTGCATTGGTACTCCAAAAAAACATTCCAAATTGAGGTAAAAATAACAATTTCTTTCAAAATAAAGTTTAATGTTTTTATTATTAAAATATGAGTCTACACTTTGATATTATGGGATCAATAAAGCAGCATATCACTGTATTTTTTAGTACTATATATTCACATTATTGGCCTTGTAACCCATATTTTAAAAATAAAAAATATTTTAGTACTTTGCCTATACCTACTTATAATTTAATCTTTTTCTCGAAATAAAGGAATAAGTCTTTTATCATTGTTTAAAATAAATATGGCTCAAGAATTTAAATTGGGCCAAAAACATAAACGGCCGCTCTCAAGTACTCCGTATTATATCAAAATCCTCCATCAGTGAATCACAACTTTTCATGTGAAGCAGCATTAGTTTCCTAAGATATTCCAATTAAGCACTAACATGTTCCAATCATTATTATGTTTAAGCAAAAGGACATTGGTGTATTTGTTAATCCATAAGACATTAGGCAAAAATATCAAACATGTTACAATGAGCAGCTGCATACGGTTCAACAACAGCGTAACTCTAACCACAACATTACCAACTTTCCATTAGCAGAGGTTTTAAACGACAGCTTCAATTTTCCTACCAGCAACAGCATAGGGTTCCAAGTATCAACAAGGTATCAGGTCCAAAGGTTCCATGTTTCAGTCTCAATTTTCCCATAGATCGAATAATTGAGAAGTTAAAATGGAAGTCAAGTAGCAGTGTTCAACTTCATTCCCCTCAAGGAGTTGAATACCAGCTTACATGAGTAAAAATTCATTTTTTACTCAAGTAATGTTAGTGAATGATTTTGAAACGCAAAACAAATGGACAATGGAATAACCAAAAGTAGTATCCTAGCCTTCTTGACCGCAGGTATTTATTTTGTTGAGTTGCATGTATTAATGTTGTTACATTGAACAGTAGAATTGTTTTTATCCTCACATTACATCTTAATATTATGATATGAAATTTACAACCCTTAGACATTCGTTTCCAATCTATTCTTTGTATTTAACTCTTCTTTATTCCGTTTTACCCGTCAAAATTTCAACCATAAACTTTGTCTCTCATTCATGCTACTGTTTCAATCTCTCATGCAATATTTTAGAGAACCTCTTGAAGGCAAACTACTATGTGGGAGATTCAAATGGTGGCACACGGATGATTTCGATAGGCTATTGGTAAGCTTCACTATTTCCCCAAGTATGTTCTGATATAGGAGAAAGCACGCAGTAACAATGGGCAAGTGCACAGTATTTCAAATGGAGTATAGAATGGGATTGAGTTATTAATGATTTATTTTTAATTGTGAATCTTTGTTCCATATTGTTGTTTGAATTTGTTTTTATGGATGGTGTGTCAGTATGAGGTTGAATATGGTTTTTTTAACAATCTTTTGGCGGAGTATATAGTTTTTTTATTGGTTCCATTTTTAAAGTTTGGATTATGTAATAACATATATTCGGGTATTTTCAAAGTTATAATGATTCTGTTTCTCTGTCTGTGTATTATCACACATTATTTGGAAGAGACTCAAGAGAGTATGCAATGTGATTGAATATGGTTGTTTGTCTATCTTTTGGAAGGGTGTCAATTCTGCTTATGGGTTCTATTTTTTAGATTTCGTTCAAGTACAAGCTATTTTCAATGTTTTTGTTTCTGTTATTTTTTGGTTCAAGTTTTCCAAATTTTTATCCTTTTATTACTATCTACTTTCAACATTGACAATTGAGATTTTTATGAAACTGAATGAATTTGGGTTGTTTTTAAATCTTCGATACAAATCAACGACATAAGGAAAACGTGAATGAGAGCCACATGCGAGAGAACCCTATTTAAAAAAAGAGAGAATATGCTCTATTATTTATTGGTAGCAGTGTTTTAACTTATTTAATTGAAAGTTCTATCAGTGAAGGTAGACCACATCAATTATCATCTTCTTAACCTTTAATTTTGAATGATGCATTTGAGTAATTGATTAATTGGGGTGTCAATAGAGTTACTAATTCAGTTTTGTACACTTGCACTAGGTATGAGACATTTGGGCTTACCAAAATAGTGGTGTTTGTGATGCAAACTCAAGCTTGGGACAACGACATTAATATATGAGCTATCAAAGCTCACCACGTTTAGTAGAACCACTCTTATAGGTTGGCCAAAATGGCATGATCCAACATACTCCTTGCTGCCTTTACTATAATGCTGAGGACAACCTTTCGAGGTGCTTTTATTTTTTCAGAATGCTTTTCTCAAAGTATGTTAAACAAGACGTTGAAGGAAGGTGTGAGTGCATTCCATGTTATGTCTAGAATTTTAAGGGAAATATTGGAGTAATTATATTCTTTGTTGTATTATTGAGTATGAGCCCAAAGTTGTTGTTGGGCCTTGACCCATTGTACATGTATATATAGACACTTGTGATGTAATTAGAACATAACCAAAAGTTAATATTCTAAAATCCTACATGGTATCAGAGCAGAAGAAACCCTAGGTCTCGTTCGTAAGGTGCACACGTCTTTGTACGTCTGTTTCGTTCGTAGCTTGCTTGTGGTGTCTGTCTCTACATGGTACTGTCTCGTCATCTATAGCTTGTGGGTCTCCTGGTGTTTGGTACTTTGGTATTCTTTTGCAGTTCGGTACTTTGGTGTTTTTCTTTCTGGACTGGTCAGTTCGGCACTCCCTTGCTGGTCTGTGTTGTCTATAATTCACTATCAACATGACAACCAAGAAGGCCAATTTGATTCACGATCCGTCATCGATATACTACCTTCATCCATCAGAAGGGCCGGGTAATTCTCTAACAAAGTATGTGCTACGCAGTGATAATTATGATGTGTGGGCAAAAGCCGTTTCGCATGCGCTTGGTGGTCGTGGTAAAGCGAAATTCTTGACAGCCGCTGGTGTACTGAAACCCACGGATGAGGCCGAACTAGGCGCGTGGGAGTCCAACCATTCCATTATTTGTAGTTGGATTTGCAACAGTGTCGATGAGTCCATTCAACGAAGTATTATAAACCATACGGTTGCGTATGATTTGTGGAATGATCTAAAGAAGCGTTACGGGGGTTCCAATGGCCCTCGTATGTATCAGTTGAAGTGTGAACTACACAATTTGCGCCAAAAGGGTCAGAGTGTTGTAGCATATTATAATCAATTCATCACCCTTTGGAACCAACTCTATGGGTGTGAAGATCCGACCGGAGGGTGTGTGTGTCCAGCCGCAGCGGTTAGCCTTGCTCGGGTTGAGCGTGAAAAGACTATGGATTTCTTATTGGGGCTGGATGATGAACAATACGGGCATGCACGTTCACAGATCATTGGCACCGAACCTATCCCAGATTTGGATCGAGCTTTCTACCTTGTCACTCAAGAGGAACGTCACCGCACTATTATTCGTTCTCGTGATGACCGCACAGATGGTGTCGCCTTTGCGGCCCGACAGTCTCCTAGTAGTCTCTGGTGCTCTCATTGTGGCCGCACTAACCACAATGTCGAGACTTGTTTTGAACTTATTGGCTTTCCGGAACACTATGGACGTGGAGGAGGACGTAGTGGTATGCAACGTGGTCGAGGGGGCCGAACTTCATCCGGCCGTGGTTACCAGGCAGGAGGCCGTGACAACAGCAGTTACTCTACAGGAGGCCGTGACAGCAGTGGCAGGGGGCCTGCCCGGTTTGGCAGTGCCTCTCACTGCAATAATACCACAGCAGCTCCATCCGGCGGCGCCCATGCTGTCAATACAGATTCTTCCTCTGTTTTAAGTGATCAAATGGCCAAGTTAATGTCTTTACTTGAGTCTTCTTCCTCTCAACAGTACACGGGTATGTCTTCTTGTGCAAGTAAATGGTTGATTGATAGTGGAGCATCCCACCATATGACCGGTGATAAAACCCATATGTTTGATGTTACTGAGATTACCCCGTGCGGGATTAGTCTCCCTGATGGCTCTCGGGTACATGCGTATCAACAAGGGTGTGTTCGGCTTTCACCCACCCTTGTGTTGTCTGGTGTTTTGTTGGTTCCGAATCTAAATTGCCATTTGATTTCCGTTGGTTGTCTTATTCGAGATAATGCTTGTCATGTGATCTTTAATGAACTTTTTTGTGTAATACAGGACCGTTTGTCGAAAACGGAGATTGGACGGGGTGAATTGCGTAATGGAGTCTACGTTTTATGCGGTTCTCTGGCTCAAGTTCATGTGTCTACTGTTGATCCCCTTTTACTTCACAAACGTTTGGGACACCCATCTCCCCAAGTGTCTACTCTTGTCAATCCCAATAATTCCTCTTCTCATTTTAAGAAGTTGGAAACTTGTGATATTTGTTTTATGTCCAAACAAACTCGTTCTTTGTTTCCTACTAGTACTAATAAAGCTACTTCTATTTTTGATTTAATTCACTGTGACATTTGGGGTCCATATACTGCTTGTTTAGTTACGGGTGCACATTATTTTCTTACCATTGTTGATGATCATTCTCGTGATGTCTGGGTGTATCTTATAAAATCCAAAAGTGAGGTAACATCATGCCTTAAAAGATTCTTTGCTATGATCCACACTCAATACGAGAAAACAATAAAAATTGTCCGTTCGGATAATGGTACTGAGTTTGTCAACAAACCTCTTCGTGAATATTACGATCAAATGGGTGTCCAAATCCAAACTTCTTGTGTCGGTACACCGCAACAAAATGGCCGCGTTGAGCGTAAACATCGGCATATTCTCAATGTGGCACGTGCTCTTATGTTTCAGGCTTCTCTTCCCATTGAATTTTGGGGTGAGTGTGTCAAAACTGCGGTGTACCTCATAAATCGTCTCCCTACCCCTCTCTTACATGGCAAGTCTCCACTTGAAATACTTTCCTCCAAGCCAAGTGATCTTACCCACCTACGTGTCTTCGGGTGCCTGTGTTATGTTCGTCAAAAACTTCCAAATAAATTTGCCCCCCGTAGTGTCCGTTGTGTGTTTGTCGGTTATCCATTTGGCACCAAGGGATGGCGTGTATATAACTTGGAAACCCATCAATTTTTTCATACTCGGGATGTCGTTTTTGACGAGTCCGTTTTTCCCTTTTCCGTACCAGAAGAGTCTCCGCCTTCGTCATCTCCGTCGCCCCCCGCTGATTTCCCCACTCTTCCCACCCTGGACACCACCCTGCCAGCAGCCAGCGACCAGCCCCAGCCCTCCACTGTTGTCGTCTCGTCAACAGAGGCTGCTGGAGCAGATCCTACTGCCGATGCTCCTCCCCTGCGTCATTCCTCCCGTGTTCGTCAACCCCCCCAGCGCTTGTCCGATTACGTTTGTCATACCGCTCTTGTGCGTAATCCGGTTCCCTTTCCCCCTGTTGCATCTTCCGTCTCTGGCACACGGTTCCCTATTACTAATTTTGTTCATTATGATAGATTGCATGACAGGTACAATGCTTTTCTTGGGGCTATGACGAAGAGTGCGGAACCTAAAAATTTTCGGGAGGCTGTCCAGATTCCATCTTGGCGTGAGGCTATGGCCAAGGAGTTATTGGCTTTAGAGCGTAATCATACATGGGACATTACCGATCTCCCTCCGTTTCGTCGAGCTTTGGGGTGTCAGTGGGTATATCGCACTAAGTTTCGTTCCGATGGTACTAAGGAACGAGACAAAGCCCGGTTGGTCGTCTTGGGTAATCATCAGGAGCATGGCACTGATTATACTGATACTTTTGCTCCTGTTGCCAAATTAACTACGGTGCGTATTCTGTTATCAGTTGCAGTTGCCAGGTCTTGGGAGGTCCATCAGTTGGATGTTAATAATGCATTTCTACACGGTGATTTGAATGATGAGGTGTATATGAAGCTCCCCCTGGCTATGCGGATGCATACCCAAACAAGGTGTGTCGGCTTCGTAAGTCATTGTATGGGCTACGCCAGTCCCCACGGAACTGGTTCGCAAAGCTCCGCGGTGCTCTACGTCGGTATGGCTTTCAGCAAGCGCATGCCGACCATACTCTGTTTGTGTGGTCAGGTGGCCCGGATATTTTGGTTGTTCTCGTCTACGTGGATGACATTTTGGTAGCTGGTAATAACCCTTCTGTGTGTTCTTCGTTCAAAAAGTATCTTAATGATTGTTTCTGTCTAAAGGATCTTGGCCCACTATCTTACTTTCTTGGGATCGAGTGTGCTCGGTCACCTACTGGCATGGTGCTGAATCAACGCAAGTATGCCTTGGACATTATACAAGAAGCAGGTCTCTCCGGGTGCAAACCCGTCGACACTCCTATCCAGCCAGGACATTCTTTGGCTACTTCTTCTAGTCCCGAGATTCGTGATCCGGCTAAGTATCGACGATTAGTTGGCCGCCTATTATATTTGACTATTACTCGTCCTGATATTTGCTTCTCTGTGCATGTGTTATCTCAGTTTATGCATGCTCCTCGACTCGATCATTTACAGGCGGCTATGCGTGTTGCACGATATCTCAAAGGTCATCCCGGTCAGGGCATTTTCTTGCGGGCTGATAGTGACTTGACTCTGACTGCATACTCGGATTTCGATTGGGCTAGTTGTCCTCTTACCCGTCGGTCTGTTACAGGTTATTTCATTCTCTTAGGTGGCTCTCCTGTTTCTTGGCGTTCTAAAAAGCAAAATACTGTATCTCGGTCTTCGGCAGAGGCTGAATATAGAGCCATGGCTAGTGCTTGCACGGAAATTCGGTGGATTCGAGGATTACTTGCTGCTTTACAGGTCCCGTGTTTTTCTACTCCGCGATTGTATTGTGATAATAAGTCTGCTCTTTTCATCGCTGCAAATCCCGTTTTTCACGAGCGCTCCAAACACATCGACATCGACTGTCATATCGTCCGTGAATGTCTCCAACGGCGTCATGTCTCTACGGCTTATGTTCCTACCAAGCTTCAGACTGCAGATATATTTACTAAGGCGCTCTCTGGTCCGCTATTTCGGTTTCTCCTTTCCAAGTTGGGCATTCTCGATATTCATGCGCCAACTTGAGGGGGAGTATTGGAGTAATTATATTCTTTGTTGTATTATTGAGTATGAGCCCAAAGTTGTTGTTGGGCCTTGACCCATTGTACATGTATATATAGACACTTGTGATGTAATTAGAACATAACCAAAAGTTAATATTCTAAAATCCTACAGGAAAATAAATCAAATTTCTTTGCACACCAAATGTAATCTTAAGTATATATATTTGGCACGAGATACCGAAGACGGCTACGAAAGAGTAGCCTACATAAGTCATTGTGTCGCACCAAGTCATAAGATGTTAATTTTATACACTAATTTCTCCAAATTTGATGTTGTGGTTGATTATCTTTGTACTACTGCTTCATAAGTTGGATCTACCGTGTCACTTAAGATGTTAAGGTGCTAGAGTGCAACTTTATATTATATAGTATTTTTTACAAACAATAATCAAAAGATTTTTTTAAACAATTTTACATTTTAAGTACTATGTGAACTTTATATAAATAGTGAAATACAAAGTACATTTTAAAACCTGAAAAAGGTGAACATTTCTGCCCGTGCAACGCACGGGTTAGAACCTAGTAATGCCAATGGCACATTGTCGAACGTTAAAGAAATAGTCCCCTTTTTTTTGGATTTTGACATTGAAAAAAATGGAGTCACAGTAAAATGGAGTCACAGAACGCTTTTCACAAAAATGAAAGATTGGGGCAATCCAAAAAGAAAATAAGAATGCTTTTTTTTTTTGGATTTTGACATTGAAAAATAAAATGGAGTCACAAAAATGAAAGATTGGAGCAAATCCAAAAAGAAAATAAGAATGATTTACATGAAAGGGAGAGAATGAAGTTATTGAGCCAAAGCAATCTAGAGGAGTTATGAGACTGAAAATCGAACAATAATTTTGTTATACATGTCCACATATATCAAATTTTCTGGTGATGAATCTGTGGGCATCTGAAAATCCAACAATAACTTTAGACTTTTTTATGCGACAAGTAAACCATTTTCGAACGAAAGATTGCCTCATCTAAGATTTTTAATAAAGAAATACCTCATCATTAAAATTTGTAACAAAATAGTACCTCAAATTGTAATTATAAGAATGCAATCGAATATTGCTGCTTCGATTTAAAATATTTAAAAATAAACATTGCATTATTGGAAAATACATACAATTTTAAGTATGTAAGTTTATTATTAAATTCTAATTATTATTTAAGCAAATTCCATAAAAATAATTATTAGTCTGGACTATTATTCAAATTAACTAAGTAAAATCTACCTAGTATTCAAATAAAAAATCATGGTTAAAGTGTTTAAACATCTGATTAATTCTACCCGAGTAATTAATTTTCATGGTTAAAGACTTAGTTCGAAATGGAGGCCCCGCCGCTTGGTCGGTCCACAAAGAATATTCATTTATGTAATATTCCGCAATCAATGAAACTAATTATCGTAATCCAGTAAGACCAAGACCTTACATACAAAATACATAATATGTGTTCGTGGGGGCGTAGCGGGAATCATCAATTAAGAGCTATGCGAACAAATCCATCAACTATGTTGCAGAGAAAATGTTGCATCATTGTCACAGTAACAGATGATAGATAATGTGTTATATATCGTTTTATCCGTCACAAGCACACACAGAAGCAGATGATGCAGAGGGTGTTACAGCGTCTACTGAGCAGAATGTTGTAACTTTAAAATGCGTAAAAAATAACTCGTTTAGCTCCGGTTCAACTCCTGGATGTCACGATTTGTTTTGCGTTGAATATATCTTCCTATATGTAAATCGTAACCTTCTTCACGCAAGGGAAGCTCCGGGACGCGACGGAAACGCTCTACATCAGCGTATATTCTGTGTTTTTCCTTTCAATCACTCCCAGTAATTCTCAGAGACCTGCTGCGTTTTTATAGGCCAATAGAAACCCAATCCTAGTAGGGATAGGTTAGTATGTTAGCGGGTATTTGTATTTACTTTGTATTGGGCCCACATGTAACCTAGCCCGTAACCCGTTATGTATTCATGTATATAAACAACCTCTAACATCAATGCAAAACAGATCAGTTTTACTCTAAATTCTACATGGTATCAGAGCCAACCTAGGGTTCTTCCTTTTTCCGGCGTTTTGTTTTTTTTCGATCAAGAGGAATTTATACGTTTTTGAATGGTTTCTTTCTCTGTCGACCAAATCCCTAGGAGGGTGCCGCTGGAACTGTTTTTGTCCACTTGTTTGTGGCTAAATTTATATTTGTGAAGTCTAATTATTGGAAGTGATCTGTCCAATTGATATTTGGTGAAATCCACTTATTAGAATTGCCAATAATTGTTCTGTTCAGCATAGAGGTGTTGCACCAATTGTTTCCGGCTATTTCTCCACGTCTTGCGGCATTGGTTCTCTGTTGCAGCGCCATACTCCAAGTCTTGCGGCACTGCTACTGTTTTTTTTCCCTTGATTGTTCAATACATCAGGGATGGCTTCTACGTGTGAATGGTTAATCGACAGTGGGGCTTCTCATCATATGGCAGGAGTTTTATCTTATTTGTCGGACATCAAATCCGTATCTCCTTGTACTATTAGCCTACCTGACGGAGCACGTGTCGTGGCCAACTCGTGTGGACGAGTGCAAGTCTCTCCGACTTTGGTTTTAACTGATGTTCTTTATGTGCCTAATTTAAAGTGCAACTTGATCTCTGTGAATTGTCTTGTCAACTCTCATAACTGTCATGTTTTCTTTGATGACCAATTTTGTGTGATACAGGACCGAACTTCGAAGACGCAGATTGGACGATGTGAAGTGCGCAATGGAGTTTATGTCCTTCCATCCTTCGCCCAAGCGTCCAAAGCCGAGTCTATTTCTCTTTTGCATCAGCGTCTTGGTCATCCGTCACCTCAAGTTATGTCTTTACCTCCTTTTAATAAAAGTGCAGCTGAAATTAAAAATTTTCAGTCATGTGACATTTGTTTCTTTTCCAAGCAAACTCGTTCTAGTTTTCCTT